AAAGAACATATCACTATACAAGTGATCTCCACTTACCAGACAAGCTTCTTCACAAAACCTTCCTCACAAGGCACTTCCTGCAACAAACGAATTGAAATTGAATAAACGAATGCTTTTTTTTACATCTTTCTCAACCACATTCCTCTTAAAACGAACGATCTAATTCCAACAGATCCCGTTACCTAACCCCCCAAATTCAGCAATTGCCGTGTCAAAAAGAGTGCGTCTTACTTCGCATATAGAGGCTTTGCACCACCACGTGATGGCAGCCATGACAGGAGGCACAACAATAGAGTCATTTTCATGGAAACTAAATTCCTTATCATGCAAATGAGAGATTAGATACAATTGTTTCCTGCCTGCTGTCATGGCTGCCATTACGTGATGGTACAAAGCCTCTATTTTTGTGTCATTATTATCAAGTTCAAGTCATCCATTCTTTTCGTTATTCAGTTTTTCTTACCTTTTTTTTGTTGACATCTTCTTCTTCCTTGTTCTTCTTCACATCGAAGTTTTCTGGTGGCTCCCCCAGCAAGCTAACAAGCTTCTCCATCAATTCAGGAGCCTCGTCTTCTCGAGATTCGTCTTCTTCATCCTCGGAGTATTCACCATCTTCGTCGTCTTTCTTTTTTTGCTTCTGGTATTGCGCAACCCTACGACTGAGATCGTCATCACCGTCTGTTCAAAAAATAGAATTATTTTAAAAAGAGGGTTTCACACGAACAAGAGTGAACGCCATGTATTCGTGAAACCAAAGATATATTGTCTAAATGCAGCTATTTTGATGCTATTTTTTGTACAAAATAGTGTATAATACTGAAGTAGAACATTGGTAACAAAAGCAAATACCTCTACGCGTCTTTGTTTGGTTCATGCCTGGGAGAATTCTTAGCTATTTTGTACCAAAATAGTTGATAAATTAATGACTTTTAAGCGCTATACATGGCTAGTAATTGTTGCATGGATATGTGGCGTGCGCTCTATGTTCATTGAAGGCATGCATATCCTAAGATATTGTTTCTACAAAGGATAAATTTTCAAAAAAAAAAAAA